GCCCTCTCCTGACCTCTGAACACCAGGCACACGTGATGCATGAGTACACACATAAACGATTTTATTTTTAATAGTCCCCAAGAGAAGAGCCTTGGAGAGTTAAAAAGTCAACTTCTCTTCCCTGAGGTCCTGAGAAGCCTTGATTGGAAGTAGAACTTTCTGCTCTGGCCGTCATCTATCTTGTGGGGCTTGCTGGTTTCCTTGTTTTGTGGTTTGGTTTGGATTTTGAGACAGGGTTTCCCTGCAGCAGCTCTGGTTGCTCTGGAACTCTTTGTAGACCAGGCTGGCCTCAAACTCAAAGAGATCCACCTGCCTCTGCCTCCTGAGTACTGGGATTAAATGTGTGTGCCCGGCTGCTTCCCCGTCTTAACTGCCCTTTGAAATAGTCATGATTTCCATTTATGGATGAAAATGAGAGCCGAGAGGCACGAGTCAGCAGGTGAGTGGGGGTGTCACAGTCAGGACTGGAACACCAGTAGGTCTTCTGGAATGACGAGCAAGTGCTCAGTCTGTTGCCAGAGGTTGTACCTGCTCCCCACATCGCTGCCTTCTGCCCCCTAATGCTCCAGTGTTCACTCTTTTTGAGGCAGGGTCTTGTGTGTGACCCAGGTTGGCCTCCCCGCATTCCTCCCGCCTCTGCCTCCCAAGAGTTAGGGTTGCAGGCATGTGCCACCACACCCAGCTTCAGCAGCTCCCTGCTTGAAAAAGAAGTTGCTGCCTTCCAGACGCCCAACAGGGCCAGAACTGAGTGGTTTGGGCCCTTTCTGTGTCTTTGAGCCGCCTGGAAGGGCTGGGCCCACTGCTGGTAGTGTACTTTGAAGGACAGAAGAAAAGTTTTGTATGCCAGAAACAAAACAAAGCCTTTGGTTCTGGCCTGCACACCAGCCTTGGTTGACACACAGCATGGAAAAGAACTGCTTTGTTGCCTGGCAGTAATGACAGCAAACAAATGTGTCTGACAGTCTGGCATCTCCTGGTCTCGGTTCTATTTGCCTTGTTTTAATTGCTTCCTTAGCTTCCTTTAGCTTCCCCACCTTCGGTACCACCCTCACCCAAGGGAACACCAGGCTGTGCCAGGTTGTGCTGGGCTGGGCTGGGCCAGCCCTACGGAATACAGTGACCCAGCCAGGCTATTCTTGCTGTGTCTATTTGCAAGAAGCCTGTTGTTCTCCCTGTCTGTTTTTCTCATCGTAAATGTTGGGTTGGCAGGGTCCCCAGGGTGGTGGAATCCGCAGTGGAAGAGCGGCCAGACTTCCGCCTCAGAAAATGCAGCGGCTCTGAGTGCCAGGCTGGGGAGACAGTGGTAGATTCTGCTTCTTGGAGCGTACCTGAAGATGTACTCCCACCAGAACAGCCCTCCTTGGGTCCAGCACCCTTGGCAGGGCCTGGACTTGTGCCAGCATACTCTTACCAAACAGGCCTGGAGGATCTGTCCTGGCATATCTGTGAGCCACCTTTGAGCCCAAGGAGATTGTTTTCTTTGCCACACATCCTACCTCACAGCCCCTGCTCTCTAGGAATTTTAATCTGTGTCAGGCTCCTAGCAGTTACTTCTGAGCAATGCCCTGGAGCAGATGGGCGTTCCCAGTGCAGTGCTCTTTTGGCAAAATGCTTGAGCGTAAGTTTGCTGGTGCTGTGAGTGTGCTGCTATAAAGTATATATGGTGTGAACTTTTTATATGGCGCCCTGAGAGATGGCTCAGTGGTTAAGAGCACTGGCTGCTCGTCAGAGGTCCTGAGTTCAATTCCCAGCACCCTCGTGGCAGTGAGCACACTATCCAATTCTCTTCTGGTGTGCAGATAAATCACCCATGTACATCAGATACATAAGTGCATAAGTAGAGCCTTTTCTTTTCTTTCTTCCTCCCTTTCTTTTTTCTTTCTTTCTTTTTTTTTTTTTTTGATTTTTCGAGACAGGGTTTCTCTGTAGCTTTTGGTTCCTGTCCTGGAACTAGCTCTTGTAAACCAGGCTGGCCTCGAACTCACAGAGATCTGCCTGCCTCTGCCTCCCAAGTGCTGGGATTAAAGGCGTGCGCCACTACCGCCCGGCCTTTCTTTTTCTTTTTCTTTTTTTCTTCTTCTTCTTTTTTTTTGTTTTTTTGTTTTTGTTTTTCGCGACAGGGTTTCTTAACAGTCCTGGCTGTCCTGGAACTAGTTCTGTAGACCAGGCTGGCCTCAGACTCAGAGCTAACCTGCCTCTGCCTCCTGAGTGCTGGGATTAAAGGTGTTCACCACCACTGCCCAGCAATATGGATGACTCTTAAAAGAACTGAGCTAGAGGCTGGAGAGATGGCTCCATGGTTGAGCTTTTGCTGCTCATACAGAGGACCTGGGTTCAGTTCCCAGCACCCACATCAGATGGCTCACAGCCGTCTATAACTCTAGCTCCAGGAGGTCGACACTCTCTTTCCTGTCCTCTGGACATCAGTTTACATATATAGTCATAAATAAAATATACCTTAAAAATTTGTTTTAAATAATTCTGAGTAAAAGAGGCCAAACAAAAACTCTTACACGGTGTATGAGTGACAGAAAGCATTGACTGCCTGCCGAGCCGTTATTGAGAAAGGGATGCAGAGGAGAGACTCAAGGGAATCCTGAGGCACGATGAATAGTCTGTGATCTCTGTTCTTTGTGTCTGTCTGTCTTAGTATTGTCACCCTGGCTAACCTGGGACACTCTTAGGTAGACCAGGTTAACTAACAGAAATCGAGGCAGGGTGTGGTGGCACGTGTCTTTAATCATAGGATTCTACTATCCTAAAGAAAATGCACATCCGCCCATAATCAGACTGTCTTACAGACAGATGCCAAGTGATGTTCTGAGGTCATAGAGTAAATCCGCATTTGGTAACTGGTTCTTTGAGAAGAAAGGGAGGTGAGGTGGTGGAGTTAACAACAATGAGTTTCATATAAAAATGTATTGTAGTCTAGTGCAATACACGAGGTGGGCCATCCCGGTATACATAGTGAGTTCCAGGTCAGCCAGGGACTGGCCTCACCGTGTGAGTAATGAGGGGTGTGTGTGTGTGTGTGAGAGAGAGAGAGATCCTGCTTCAAAAAACAAAACAAATGCTACTTATAAATCAGTGCCACCAGGCCTGGTGATTATCCTTCATCTTGATGGTGGTGATAGCTTCACAGGCATACAGATATCAGGACACATGAATTCATGCACCCCAATAATATTTAAAGAAAATACAGAGGCAGTTCACTGGAATAGTATTTAATATCTGCTGACCTGAACTGGGTGTGATGGCTCATACCCATGATCCTATCAGCTCTGGAGGCTGAAGTAGGATTACTGGGAGTTCAAGGCCAGCCTGGCATACATCATGAGACTCTGTCTGTAACTCCAGTTCCAGGGGACCTGACACCCATGGCAAAACACCAATGCACATAAAATAAAAATAAATAAATCAGCAATCATTATGTGCCAGATTCACACGCTGTTCTGGGGGTCCAGAGAGACTTGAAGATGTGGGTCATGCCCTCTGAAACTCACAGCATAGTTGAAACTAAATCCAGATGGAGAGACAGAGGAAAGTGCATGAACTAGGAAGCCCGAGAACCAGGTGGGCAAAGCTGCGCACATTAACTAAGCAGTGTGATTGGGCTTGGGCTAGAGTAAGCGCTACAGTGATGAAGCAGCAAGAAGAGGCCACTAAGTCGGCACCTTTTGTTTCCTTGGACCGTTTGTGTAAAGTCTAGGCTGTCACCGGGACCTCCATGTTCAGTATTTGAGGCCATGATACCCGGAGCAGCTTCGCTGTGCCTGGGAGGTCTTTGGCGATGTTTCAGGAGACCTGGTTTGGGTGTGGGCAGCAGCTGGGGAGCTTGCTCCTTGAGCTGCACCTGGGCTGGAAGGCATCCAGCTATCCAGCTGTCCCAGTGGCCACTTTGCCCCAGGAATGCTGCTCTCTCTGTGGCCAAAGACACCAACTTCCAAAGACCTGTACTTTGACAAACGACTGTCTGAGGCACAGGGCTCTAAACTCTGCTGTCTCTTCTCGTCATCTGTCAACAGACGCCCCAGATTTCTTCCTTGTTTCCTTGTCCATTTTTATACTTTTTTTCCCCCCAGAGCTGACTAGGAAGTTAAATTCGGATACAATTGTCATACCACATTAAAAATGCAAGCAGCAATACAGAACATGGCTGGCGCATGTTGGCCAGACAGCTCAGTGAAACTAGAGATGGGAAACACGGGCAAGGTTTGTGCTAATGGAAGTAGATGCCAGTTTGCATGGCAGCTCTGACTCCTTTCTGTCCCATCCCCGGTCACTCTGCCACTACACATGCAGAAGGCATACCCAGCTAGAGGTTGAAGTGCTGCGGCTTCTGCTGGGTAAGCATCTCTGAGACCTAGAGACCAAGCCACTTCCACAGCAGAAGTGGAGCCCTAGACTCTTCCTCAGGACCCTAACCGCTGTGGCAGGTGGAAGTGACCAGCGCCAAGCGCGTGATGAGAACAAGTTCTTGTGCCGGGCTCTGAGTAAGAAGAGGACAGACTGTTGCCCCTGGCTTTCTGTGCCGAGCTGCTGTGTGAAGCGAAGGCTAACACAGATGACTGACATCAGCTCAAACCGGGAATCGTAGTGTGGATTAATCCTCTCAGCGAATTCGCTGTCAGGCAGTGTCAAGAACAGAGGGGTATTTAGTTACCCAGAGTTCTGTTGTTAAATAAAGATCGTGTTTCTCAGTGTGCTCCATGGTAGCGCTGGTATTTGAGGCTGCACCAACACGCCAGCTGGCTGCTTAACCTGTACCCGGTCCCTCTTCTCACCTGAGCTGGTAAATTAGCCCCCTTGCAGGCTGGCTTGATCTCTGTTGAACTGTTTGTTCTGCCTTCACCTTCTCCCCCATGCCTCCTGCCAGCTAGACTCTGCAGTCTGCCAGTTCCCTTTTGCAGGGAAGGTCAGGCTTGTGATTTGGGGTCTTTTCCCAGATGGGCACAGGAAGCGTGGATGTCTAACAATTGATTTGTTTTCTTGTATTTCAGTCGTTCCAGGGAAGTCAAGGACGAGCATACCTCTTTAACTCAGTGTGAGTGTCTCTGAATGGAGCATCTGCTTATTGGGTGAAATCCCTGAGGGGCGGGGAAAGTACTCCTCAGTGACTGGGCCATGATCTCTGCCTTCTCAATATTAGTAAGACTCCTAGGGCCATTGGCTAGTAGTCAGTGTCTGTCAGGTACCTTAGGTGAAATTTTGTAGGCAGCCCCTCCAACTATAAAGTACACACTGCAGTGCCCAGCACTGGGTCTTCCCACAAGGAAAACACGGGGGAGGGGGGGCTTCTTCAGCACAGAGGTCAGCAAAACCTGAGAAAGGAGAAAGGAGCGGGGACTAGAACCTGTGGAAGGCTTCATACCTTCTGCCGAGGATGTCTACACAGCTCTTTATCAACCATGAACACGCGAGTCCTCTGGCTGGAATAGGAAGGCATTGTCAACCACGGACACGCGAGTCATAGCCTCTGACTGGAATAGGAAGGCAAAGCTCACAGACACTTGAACTATGTAAGAAAATCTAGCACAGCTTGAAACAGGTGTCATGTTTGGTAGTCTAGGCCCCCTGCCCTTATGCTAAGGCTTGCTTGCCAGCTTAGGCATCATCAACTTTTTGGTTTTTCGAGACAGGGTTTCTCTAGCTTTGGAGCCTGTCCTGGAACTAAGTCTTGTAGACCGGGGTAGCCTTGAACTCACAGAGATCCACCTGCCTCTGCCCCCTGAGTGCTGGGATTAAAGGCGTGCGCCACCACTGCTCAGTCCTCTGGAACCTTTTAAGGACCTGTCTCAAGGCTGTGAACCTCACTGTGCAGTTGCCAGATTAGGGGAGAAGAGCTGTCTGGGCAGGTGAAGGCAATGCTCCCCAAAAGCCTGATGGCATGAGTCAGGTCCCTGGAAATCCTTATTGTAGATGAAAACCCACTCCCGAAGTCGTCCTGCCCTCCACATGCACAATAGCATGCATGTGTCCCCAACAAGTAAATGTAATACAGTTTTTCTTTTAGTTACAAGATTAAAAATCTGTGTCAGGAAATTTAAACCCTAAACAAACTCATCCAGAGCTGTTTTGGTTAGCTTGCAGAATTTAATCTTGCAGATCTAGTATTTATTCCCTCTGAGATATTTCCACATGGCTACCTTTCATTTCCACCCTAGACCATTTTCTTCTCAGTGCTGGCTTCCCCGGGAGCAGTCCTGTCTAGTCAGTTTTTGCCAGAAGCTCAACTTGAATGGTTGTTTACCCGGATGTCTAACTACCCGCTCTCTTTCTGTCTTTGGCATAGAGTTAATGTGGGCTGTGGGCCTGCAGAAGAGCGGGTGTTGCTAACAGGCCTCCATGCGGTCGCAGACATCTACTGTGAAAACTGCAAAACCACTTTGGGCTGGAAATATGTAAGTATGAAAGGGCCTGGGTAGAAGGGGCCTGGAGCGGTAGGTAGCAAAGGGCCTCCTCTCTGAGGGCTGTTTTCTTCCACTAGTTTCCCTCAGGCCTGACAAGTAGCTGACTCCTCCAAGCTCAGTCCTTCACCTGTTCTGGGAACGCCCTGTCGGTGCACATGTATACATTTATAACAGGACTTAGTAGCATCTGACTGGGCACTGTGTGTGGGGATGTGTTATGTAACAACACCAGGAAGATGTCTCAGCAGAGTGCTTGCCCACAAGCATGAGGACTTGAGTTCTGATCCTCAGCACCCATGGAAAAGATAAGTTGGGTGCAGTAACACGTTTGTAATCCCAGAGCTCGGTAGTTACAAACCAGAATACTTGGGACTTGCTGGCCAGCCAGTCTAGCCAATTGGTGAGCTCCAGGTTCAGTGGGAGACTGTCTCAACAAAGCAACTGAGGAAGACACGTGCCATTAACCTGTGGCTAACACACATCCTCTTTTCCCCCATCCCAGTCTCTCTCACTCACACACCCAACTACGCGTACACATAAACAGATATACATCTGCAGAGAAAGTAATAGAAACACTGGCTATCTAAACACTTGTATTGCCTGTACACAGCCTCCCTCTAAGCATTGGAATGAGGTGGAAACCTGGCTCTGTCTCTTAGGTGGCTTTACGGCCTCATTCTCTGCTTTTTAAGTGCTAATGAATATAGTAGCCCCTGGGCATGGTAGGTGGTGGCCGACCGATCTTGGCCAGCCAGCCTTGCTGAGGAAGTAATGAAAGCTCTGAAAGTATTGACGTTTATGTAGGGAAATAAATTATGAGCAATGGGACTGTGGCGGCAGAGGTGTTAGGTCTTGCCGAGGACCAGACTGGCCTGCAACTTGGGTCCTTTCTCTTCAGCCTGCCACGTGCTAGAATCACAAGCACAGACCATGCGGTCCCAGTTCTGATGCTGATCATCTGGGGACACAGTTATTCTGCTTTTCCTCTGTCTTGTGACTACATTCTCCTGGTTCCCCTCACTTCATAGAACCATTCTCTGGTCAGCAAGATAACTAAAGCCCAGGGGTTCTGAAACACCAACAGGGTTTGGTTTCCTACTGACTGCTGAGGCTCAGGCAGAAGAGACAATTTCCACTCCCCTGTACCGCAATTATTCCCCGAGTTACAGCTCCAGGGACCAGTGTTCTCAGTCCTTGATCCTACACCCAGGCAAGATGGTGGGGACAGGTTCTGTACTGGGATTTATTTATTTATTTATTTATTTATTTATTTATTTATTATGTATACAACATTCTGCCTCGATGTATGCCCACACGCCAGAGGAGGGCGCCAGATCTCAGTACAGATGGTTGTCAGCCACCATGTGGTTGCTGGGAATTGAACTCAGGACCTCTGGAAGAACAGCCAGTGCTCTTAACCTCTGAGCCATCTCTCCAGCCCTGTACTGGGATTTATGTAGCCTCTATCATCACCTTGGAGCACAGCAGTGAAAGAGACACACACTTGATTCATCTAAGGTGGAAACAACAAGAAGGGGAAACAGGACCGGGCTGGCCTCATACTACTTGTTTCTCTTGCTATCCCACCTAAGCCGAACAAGTACATTTTAGGATATAACCAAGGCTGGAGGGATGGCTCAGCAGTTAAAAGCTGCTCTTGCAGATCCCAGGTGATAGCTCACCACTGCTTGTAACTCCAGCAAAATGTCTATGCACATAAAATAAAAATATTTTTTTAGACCTTCATTTAAAAAAGATTATAACCAGGCTTTCCTGTGTTCCTAGAAACTAGTGGAAATAATATACAAACTTTAGATACATCTATAGGGCATTCCTCTAGTAAGCTTCAGAAATCTGGGTTACCTAAGGAGCTCATGAGTGTGTGTGTGTGTGTGTGTGTGTGTGTGTGTGTGTGATTACAACAGGGAATACTGTGTAGCTCTACCAACAGCTGTACTTTATTCACTGAAGCCTGTTAGCTGGCTTTTAATCTTCTAGTGATATGGCAGTGCAGAAAACACGAACATTTCAGGGCTGGAGAGATGGCTCAGAGGTTAAGAGCACTGGTTGCTCTTCCAGAGGTCCTGAGTTCAATTCCCAGCACCCACATGGTGGCTCATAACCGTCTATATGTATAATGAGATCTGGTGTCCTGGTATGCAGGCAGAACACTGTATATATAATAAATAGATAAAATCTTTAAAAAAATAAACATCTCCTTAACATTTGCATAACAGGCAATAGAAACTGAACGGGAATGTTGTGTGCATTAGGAAATATGGGGTACTGTGGATAGAGATAAGGGAAGAAGCTGGGGAGACAGGGTGGCACAGCCGGCAAAGGAAGACATGACCGGTAAAAGAACTTACCAAGATGGTGGCATTGAAGCAGAGGTTTAAAAGAAATTCTGTCATGATACTGAGGAAGCCCATCTGTTCCCTCCATTGTACTGTTAAGTACAGGAACTCAGTGCTTGTGTGCTAGCATCTTCAGTAGACCTGACTTGCTGTCCTGGTGCCTCTCATCAGCACCATCCCTGCCTCTAGCATCTTCAGTAGACCTGACTTGCTGTCCTGGTGCCTCTCATCAGCACCATCCCTGCCTCTGTGCCTCAGCAGTTACCTGTTTGCCTTGGATCACTCAGCGTTCTTTCTCTTCCTCTCTTTTATAGGAACATGCTTTTGAAAGCAGTCAGAAATATAAAGAAGGCAAATACATCATTGAACTAGCACACATGATCAAGGACAATGGCTGGGACTGACCCGACAGCGTCCATCCGGTCCAGCATCCACATGAATGCCATCCAATCGAACATTCTACCCAAGCGTGAGAGAGTGACTGAACACTTGGTTCCATCCATTCAGGGGCCTTGCCATCAGGGGGCATACTCCTACCCTGACGCCATCTTTTTCGGTGACTGGCCTCTGAATCGCTGTCTCTCTGTCTCTTTGCTTTGTATCTGTTTGTGAGTTGATCTTGGCTTCTCTGTTCCAGTGTTGGCTGAAAACAAAATGACAAACAGAACAGATCCTTGGCTGTGTGGGGCCGTGTGGTGGCGTCCACCTTGAACGGGGGCCCCCAGCCCATATGAGAGCTGCCTAATTGTCAGAGCAGTGGCACCTGGGCACAAGGAAGAGCAAAGATGAACCCGAGAGTCCTGGGGTTGGGGAAGGGGCAGGAGGGTAGAGGTAGAACAAAGCCGTGCTACTCTTGGGGACCTGGCTTGAAATAATTGACTCTTTCTACAGGACAAAGAGAAAAAAAAAATACCTCATGGCTATGTTCTCTCTGACGACAAACTTCTGTCCTAACATCAAATGTGCCAGGATAGCAGATTAGCACAAGAAATGGCCCTGATTCTTGCTGACAGGGCAAGACCCTGGCATTCTGGGCCACGGAATGTCCTTCTAGGGTGGGTAGGGGGTAGGTAAAGCCCAAATGGGTTTTAGTGACTCTGATGCCTCCTGCCCCCACCCCACCCATGGGCAATCACCTTCTTGGTTTCTTTCACTCTTTCAGTGAAGGGAGAAATGCAAGATGCAAATATTCCATTTAGCCAGCAGCACCCTGAAATCCACAGTGGAGGAAAGCCAGGGAGCACGGGTCGCAGCCTGGGAACTCCTGATAACGAGCAGGAAAGTAACAATGGGTCACTAGTCAGCAGTTCTGTGGGAGCAATGCAGTGAGGAGAGGTTCGGGGAGGAACAGTTTAGATTTGGGCCAGTCTGGGCTCGGCGCATCCTTCCTCGGGGTGCAGTAGCTTCCACGGGATTAGCAGTTCTCTGTGCATAGTGTTTCTGGTTTGCTTTTTTTCTCCAGTTCCATCATAACCTAGGAAGCAAAGATCCAAGATTGCATCCCCCTCGTGCCTCCATTGTTTTAGACCCGAGTGTCTTATGTGGGGAGAGTAATCTTCTGACAGTGTGGTCCTGCAGTGGGGAGGAATCATAGGTTCACTGTGGCCCCCTCACCCATCACCCCACCCAAGCTTTGCATTAGCAATGGGGAAAATTCCCTGTAAGTCTCGACGCTAAGGAACTTAGCGCATTGAGTCAACACTGAATGTTTTACAGCTATGACGTGGCACATGGCTGAAACTCATTTGAATTAATTTCATTTCCTAGGCAGAAAATAATGTTAAAATACACACATAGTAGGTAATTCTCAACATTGTTCTCCAACTAGGCTGGTCCTACAGGAAAATGCACTTCTTAAAAAAAAAGCCTAATAAAAGAATTCATGGGAATAAGAATCTGTAAAACTGGTTAACTCAGACTAAAGCATCTGACCCAGGGCATTTTCAAATCTCATCTTCAACAGAACTAATTTCCCAGCAGGAGAGCTGTGGTTCCCTGGCTTTGTCCCCTGTGTCCTGATCTGGGACTTGGCCCTGCCCTGCTGGTGGTGATGGCGAGGTGGCAGAGAGCTGGTCAGGCCTGTTTAACAGCAGATCGCTCCTCTTGTGGGACATAAGGATTCCTAGAAACAGGATTTTGTTCCTCAAGTCTCCTTGTCCAGAGCCTTGGAACATTAGCTCCACCTCCCATCCCCCACCACCACCACCATGGACTGCAGGACAGACTGAGCCTCAGAAGGAGTAAGTTTTGCTTCCTGAAAACCACTTGGTGGCTCCCAGGCTCAAGTTCTCAGTGACACACATTTTTTCCACTTTCACATTCCAAAACTGTCTCCAGAGTCATGCCTTGTCGCGTTCACCCCCCAATCCTGCCCGAGGGAAGTGGCCTTCATTTAAGGATTTGATTACACACACCCTTTGCTCAGGGAATATCCCAGCTCTACTAAAGTCCTTTTTCTTTTTTTAATGGACAGTGGGGGTTAAACCTAGGTGGATAGTTTTTCTTTAAAACTAAAATTAGTGAGGCGTAGAACTTGGATATGTGATGTCCTGCCATTCTCAAGGGTCAGAGAAGGAGACCAGTGTGCCACTGTTTTTACTTGGTGGGGTCCTTGATCATCCTGGACCAGAGCAAGCTCCAGTAGGAGCCTGGTTCTGGATTTTTCTTGAACTGCTGTCTGATGAGCATCCAGTGGGTGTCTGGCACTATATATGGTGCCAAAAGGGAGTAGCAGGTCAGTTTTTCCATAGCTACTTTGGGGGTGGGACCAAAACCCATTAGGCTTCTCTTTGTGGCAATGACACCAGAAGTGCTTCTTAGACCCTTCGCTCCATCCGCGCTCCATCCGCGGCGTGTCTGCCTGACACTTAGCAGTGTGACCCTCGCTCCACCCACGGCTTGTCTGCCTGACACTTAGCAGTTTTAGAGTCCACAGCTGAGCAAGGGAGACAAGCGCGCTCCAAGCCTCCGTCAGTTTCTTTATTTTCCTCACCAAATTATTGACTCAGCATAACCAAAGACCTCATCCATTCACCCCACATAGGTTCAGGGAGTTGGAGTTGATCGGGTGACCTTGGGCAGGGGTGGGTGAACAGCAAAGAGTGAAAGGGAGGGGCCTCAAGTTCTGTACCTCAGCCCACAGCTGCCTTCGTTTTGAACTGAAGACTAGCTGACCAGCTCCCATTCCGTCTCCCCGTGCCACTGTAAGGTAATAGGGCCATGGCCACCCTGGAGTACGTTCACCCCCTCCCCCATATTTCCCTAGGCTGCTAATGGGTGAATGAGCATGAGTCAAGGGTAGCCAAGCTTGATGCCCACGGGCTCTCGGCTGGGCCTGGCTGAGTCCCGCCCCAGCACCTAGTCAGATCATGTAGATAAGTAAATCTTTGCTGGTAGATCAGTGTGTACTAAAGCGGTGTCCCCTTTATAATAAGGTTTTCAAGTCTCTTGTGAAATATACTTTTGTAAATAATATTTAATTTTTTAAATAATATATTTGGTGCTGTATTCTCAGATCCCTGGGAGCACTTTGTTTTCAGTTCTATGGCTTCCTCTCTGTTTCTTGAAGTACATTTTAAGGGAAAGAGTAATCACCAAGATTTTTTTTTTTTAAAGATCTGTCACTTTAACTTGGATTGAGGCTTTAAAACATTTTTTTTTTTTGCATTTTTGTGTTTGCGTTTTCCCCAGTGGAACAGACTGTAGTAAATTACCAGGTTATGAACTGATACTTTCTTATCCTGTCTTGGCTAGAAAAGAAACAAGTTTCAGTAGTAATAACTTAGAAGTAATTGCTGTAGTTGGGAGAACTGAGAAATTGAAATCGTGTGTGTGTGTGTGTGTGTGTGTGTGTGTGTGTGTGTGTGTGTACTTTCTTTTCTACTGAGGACACTATATGAATTACAGTTTACATCTTGGGCACGCAGAGTTTCCCTCTCTGGTTTCCATGTCTGAGTGGACCAACAGCATGGAGCAGGATTTCTCTCCCTGAGTTGGAGTGTGCTCTGTGTTCTGCTTCTAAAGCTGGCAAAGCAAACCTGTAAGATGAAATCGAAGTCAGGTCCATGCTTCTGAGATGTGAACAGATCAGTCACACATCCGAGGGCTCTGATTGTTCTAGAAGCCAGGTCATATTAAATGTTAACTGGTTCTGGTTCAGGCTAAAAGGACATTGATAACACGATATCTTTTTCTTTTTTCTTTTTTGAAGGTCGGATTGCTTCAGGTTCAGGCAGAGGCTGACAAATCAAATTTTGAACATCACTTTTGTATTTAAAAAAATCTGCCTCAATGGAAAATACATTCTAGTTCTGTGAGGGGGAAAGATTGTTTTTAAAATCGTGATTGATTTCTAAAATTACTATACAGTCATGAAATGTACCAGAATCAAAGATAAAGCCAAGAAAGACCTTATTGTCTCTACAAGGTTAGCTCTGCCCCGTGTTCTACAGTGTTTTGGTGAAGGCGGAATCAGTCCCCTCTTCCCAGCCCGCAGAGACTTGTGTACCACAGGTTTGTCTGTCTGTCTGTGTTTACAAACTGTATTGTTGGATTTCAAATTGTGTTTGTTTCTCATTTTCGGTTGTCTTTGGTGGCATTTTTTTCCCCCGCAGGTCACTTTGCTCCAATAACAAAGGCGATTGTTTTTTGAGTGATTCGTCTTCACCTCTTTTCGGTATCTGTACATAATGACTCAGTATTAGTGAGAAGTTGCATTGTTTGTCGTTTCCTATCTGTGTTGGTGCTCATTTGAGAAAATAAAGTTTTCAAATATTAACTCCGGGGCCGAAGGCATCTGTTTTCATTGACACAATGTGTATTTTGACATTTAACACTTACACTGCTGGGTCGTCTGTCTGTCACTGGTCACAGGCCTGTTAGCTGAGTCCATGAAGGACATTTCTTGAGGACAGCAGGCCTGTTCATGAGTGAATCTCAGATCTCCTGTTCATCTCCTTTCAGCTGGCTTTGGCTATCAGAAGTGAAGAATGAGCCTCCTTCTCCAGTTATCTGTGCCATGACCCGCCTTCTGAAAACTTTTCTGATGACATCCTCTTTAGAGGGAGGATTGCGTTAAAGGTGCGGGGGTGGGGATTAACAATGGAAGATAAATATCCAATCCCAATACGTGAAAAAATAATAAAAAAAATAATTTTTTCCAAAACCAGGTCTCTGTGTAACAGCCCTTATCTGTCCTGGAACTAGCTCTGTAGACCAGGCTGGCCTCGAACTCACAAAGAGAGATCTGCCTGCCTTTGCCTCCTGAGGCTGAGATTAAAGGTGTGCGCCACCACCGTCTGGCTTAATCAAATCTTGCTCAGGTATTAAATTGAGATTACAAACTTGAGAATTCTGTCTCTGTGATAAGTCAGCTCGTATTTTTTCCAAGCACACACTCTTGAATAACCAGTCACTTGTAAGTACCTACATGCACTTCTATGTGCCAGTGCTGGTTTTACTCTACATTCAAACCCAAGGCTTCGTGCGTGCAAGGCTAGGCAGGGACTCTACCAAGCTAGATCCCCACCCATGCTCTGTATTTTAAGCTTCTTCAGAGGGATGGGCATGGTGGCACACCCCTTTAGTTCCAACACTCAGGAAGCAGAGGCAGGCGGTTCTGAGTTTGAGGCAACCTGGTTTACAGAGCAAGTTCCGAGACAGCCTGGGCCACACAGAGAAAATGTGTGTGTGTGTGTGTGTGTGTGTGTATGTGTGTGTGTGTGTGTGTGTGCGTGTGTGTGTGTGCATGTAAAACAAAGCCCCGAGCTTGCGTCCCACACTTTTCCAGCTGTCTTCTCTGGGCCCAGCTGCAGCTGTCTTTTATTTGTCGCCGAGCATGGTCTCCTTCCTGTGACCTGTTTGCTTCAGTAGACTTCCCGTTATCATCTCATTCTGGTTTGCCTTTAGTGGACAGAGAGGAGAAAAAAATACACGCAGCGGACGGCCAGTTCTAGGCCAGTCATCCTGGGCCCTTGTTCTAATCCCGCTGCCTACAGTGACCAGGGAGGGGAGAGTACAGTGTACCTGACCTGTGTGACTCCTGGTGCTTGGCTTGCAGAACCTGGAGCAGGGACCTTAAGCTCAGGCTCTTCCTTACATCCCCCTAGGAGTTCTCAGCACTTACAGGAGAGCAGTGACAAATGCCAGTTACAAGAGATGGGTCAGGAAGCAGAACATCTGACTTCACGACTCTTGGGTTTTCCCCTATACTGTTTCAAGCTGGGTTTTTATTCTTTGATTTTTTTGTATTTTATGTGAATAAATGTGTTGCTAGCATGCATGTCTTTATGTCCTTTGGACCCTTGGAACTGGGCTTAGGGATATGTGTGAGCCACCATGTGGATCCTGGGAATTGAACCCAGGTCCTCTGCAAGACCAAGTGCTCTGAACCACTGAGCCATCTCTCTAGCCCCTGTTTTATTTTCAGACAGGGTCTCACTACTTAAGCTTAGCTATCCTAGGACACAGGTACTGGAGATCAAAGGCCCAGCTCCCCTTCCCCTCCAGCCTTAAATTGGCTGTGGCTTTTCCGAGGCACAATCTAGTCGGCCCCTTGCTCTCCACACCATTGCTTTCACACTAATTCTTCCATTTAAAGGTGAGGAAACCAAGGCTCTGAGACCTTTAAATGAATCCCCAAGGCAAAACTAGGATTTTGTGGGCTCGGTGACTGACACTGTGACCTTGGCACTGGGGAGACTGGGGTGGGAGGATTTCACTGAGACCTGCCTGGTCAACTGTGTGCTTTTGAAAATAAATACAGTGCCTAAGACCACACAATGGTGGCTCACACCTTTAATCCCAGCTCTAGGGAGGATGAGGCAGGCGGATCTATGTGAGTTCTTCGCCAGCCTGGGCTACAAAGCAAGTTCCAGGATAGCCAGGGCTACACAGAGAAGCCCTGTATTAAAAAACAAACCAAGAGCAAAAAACAAAATTTTAAAAAGGCCAACTTTTGGCCATCTGGTCTGCCTGTACTGGCCAGGGCCAGGTTCAATGATGAGACCTGTCCTAAAAAATCTGATGGAGGGGGGACACGGTGGCATTTGCCGTCAAGCCTGAGGACCTGAGAGAAATCCAGGCATTTTTTTTTTTTTGTTTTTTGAGACAGGATTTCTCTGTGTACCTTTGAAGTCTGTCCTGAAACTCACTCTGTAAGTCCAGGCTGGCCTTGCATCTAGAAGTTTTTACAGAACTGTTGATTGTTTTTGTTTTGGAGGGAGGAAAAAAAAAACATTGCTTTCCATTAAGAATGATTAAAAAATAATAAAATAACTCAACCCTTGCCCATGTAAACGTGACCAAGATATCTCAATACCTGGCATCCGTGGGTGCCAATCGACTTGTGAACAAGGCTAGGGGCTGACCTGACTCTAATAGCCATGCTCATCAAAGCAGCTGTGACTGCTTCCAGGTGCCCTTCCAGAAAGCAGTGAGGAAGGTCATGTGACCCTCACCAGCAATCCCAGCCGTGCCTTCCTGCAGATCCCTTCCAGCTGTCTGCAGTACTGTCTGGTCTCAGGGGCAGGAAGGTGCAGCAGATGTATTACATCATCTGTGCAGTGACTGGTGGAGAGACTCTTGAATGATGTGGTTATTTGGGGGTCACCCACAGGGCTATAAGTACCTCCTCACTCATGCTTCTGTAAGCCCAGCAAAGTTATTGGTTCCCAAAATTGGATCTTGGCGTAATGGTCTACTTTGGTCTATCTTTGGAACTCTATGGGGAGTATGGGAGGTGGGTAGATGTTTGCTCTGCCCAGGAAAAGGTCACTAAACAGCAGGCTTGGCTGCACCCCTTAAATCCCAGCAGGAGAAGGCAGAGGCAAGGGGCTGAACATTGAAGAGCAGCACGGGCTATATACTGAGATTTTTTTTTTCTTGAGACTAATTTTTCAGATTAAATGTCATATGTCACATGAAGAGATTTCTAATTTCCAAGTGATATGAGAATCATTTTAATAGAACAGCCAGAATATTCTGAAGGCTCTTAGCAAATTATTGGAAATCCATGACAGAACAATTAAGTGTTTTGCGGGGCGATTAAAATAGTGTTAATGATTTATCTCAAGTGCATGAACTCAGAGTCAAGGTAGATATATGGTGGCTGATTGTAATCCCAGCGCCTGGAAAGTAGAGGCAAGATCAGAGCCAAGGCCATGCTGGGCTACACAGCCACTTTGTGGCCAGCCTAAACTACACTCAAAGGAAAACAAACAAAAACAAAGCAAACACACACAATCTCCAGAGTCAGTAGGAACCCTGGCTCTTGAGTTCCGAGGAGGATGTACAGCCTTATATCATGTACAGCCTGACATCACCTGATTCATGCATAGACATTCATCTCTGAGAAGTTACTTAACTGATTTCTCTCTGGGTCTCAGAGATGCCAGCAGCAACTCAAGTTATTAAGTCGAATACACCCAGTGCTTGGGAGGCAGAGGCAGGCGAATCTCTTGAGTTCGAGGACAGCCTGGTCTGCAGAGTGCGTTCTAGCATAGCCAGGGCTGTTACATAGAGAAACCCTGTCTCAAAAAAAAAACCAACCAAAGAAAGTCAAATACAGTAACTCCATGTAGTATCTGGCACACATAGACTTCGGTGCATGCCTCCTTCATGATGTCTCCCCGTGGCATGATTACTGCCCGTCCTGATAGACACTGTTAGCAGGTAAGGTACAGTATTCAGTCCTCATAACCTACAAGGAGGGAACAGCCACAGGTTACGTAATTCAGGGTTCTGAGCTTTCGAATGTATTAATATGAGACTCAGACCCTACGCAGACAGTCAGGCTTTTAATTCTTGAAGAGAGTGTGTGCAAGAGAAGGCAGGCTGGAGGCATGGCTCAGCAGTAGCGTGCTTACCTAGCACACACAAGGCCCTGGGTTCTACTCTGAGCACCGTTAAAACAGAACAAACTACATTAGAGAAGATGGAGGAGAGAGGGGATCAGAAAGTCCATCCTTGATTTTCATGGGCACTACCTTTGTGGTCTTCAGTAAACCAACATGTGGCTCATTATACTTCTGTCAGAATCCTGTCCACCAGTCATACTGCTCTGGCCTCTTCTGGTTCCCCCACTGGGCCAGAGGGAAGCCATATAACACATCAGCCATGCTAAAGAATCAGAAAGGCTTTGTTTATGGCCTTAATTAAGGAATTTCTTTTTTTTTTTTTTTTAATTAAGGAATTTCTTGAGGGAAAATTTTGGTTTCTTATTAGCCTGCAAGCTACTCCTCAGGCCCACAATGGCAAACAGGCTCCTGAGCCCTGCTTAAATAATCATTTAGGGAATTTGGGCATAGTTCTCTCTCCAGACTACTTCCTGCTCTTTGGGGGCATTCACAGGGACATTTCAGGGGCTCTTGGTCCATCAAACCACACCAGTTAGAAGAAATCCACAGGTCCTCATGCTCTGTGGAAACAAAAACAGAACCTCTTTCCCAAAGCAACATATCCTTAGACCCATAGTTTAAAGTCAAAATACCTTTTTTCGCAGTTCCTGTAATCAAATGTCTGTCTCCAATCAAAAAAACAAAAGAAAACACAATATACATAATCCAAATTCTCTGTGCACATTCCATCCTTTCGTGGTTTATAATCTGACTGTCTATAATCTGTCTAAGACTTACTCAAACACACATAACACACATACTCATCTTTAATCCACCCTCACCATTCCCAAGGGCAGTCTCGCTGGGGCCTCCACTTGTAAAACTACACCGGTTCCATTCTGTGCCCTACTCACTATATGCTATAGGAACT